TATGCGGAAATGTGCTGTTATGTTGTTGTGGTTGGCCTTGTAGCAATTCCATGCTTTCACACGTCGCCGTGCCTTGTCTAAGCCCGCGTTCTCACTCGTATCCTACCTCGTTTCAAACACGCTGCTCTAAAGTGAATGCCTGCTTGTTTGGACAGTACAAATATACGAACATTAGACACCATGAGATGCGTGGCTACCATTGCGTGAGGAGTGCCAGGGCCGCATCAAACGGCACGCCGTTTGATGTGGCCCTGGCACTCCTCACGCAATGCGTGCCCTGTCGTATGGGCCTTGCTGTATAAGGGGCCATTCACTTGTACGCGTATAAGACAGCGTGCACAAGCACCGCTTGGAGTTCTTACATTCGCGTGCACCATTGTGGTTCCAGCTTTAAAATGGCAGTAGGGGCCTTTTGCTGGACTCACGCGGTAAAGCGCCACACTGGGATTTACGAGTGCGATGTTTTTGTGCAGTTCGAGCCAGTCGAAAAGGACGAAGAACCGGACAAGGCAAGCGAGACAACCAAGTTATCCTTTAACATAGCTGCATAGCTTGAACATGTGGCACCTCGGAAAGCTTCGCGCCTCATATTACTGAATTGCTTCTTTTCAGTGCAGCAGGACAAGCTCTATGCATAAAGATGCTGCGCTGGGGCAGCGCGGCTCGTGTGTCTGTCTTATCTTTTGATCATAGAGTGACTTTTATGGCGTGTATCTGAGTCTGCACCAATGTGAAAAGTGCCGCAGAAATGCAGCTTCATGGATGTTAGCACGCTTCGCCATTTACTCTCCCCACGGCAGCGTGTCCGGTAGTAGATAAATTGGAGCATGCGACGCTACGTCGTTATGCTTTTCTTTCTTTTCCGTTTACTTGCCTCAGCCGGAAGCGCCGCCGGAGACGGCGACGGCCACCGGGCACGCAGGGGAAGGCAAAGCGTTACGAATAGCAGCGCTGGAGGATGCCGGCCAGGAAGCTTCAGATGAAGAGGTGAGCGGTCAAATGATGATGAGTAAATTACAGTGCTATGAGCTTCGAGACGTAGCATGGCGCCCTCATTTCTAAGGACTATAGGGGAAACTTCGCAGGGCCGGTTACAGCTACCTCTGGCAGCGGTTGGTGGATGTCTACTGCCTGCGCGAATTTGTCTCAATAACGCCGGACCAACTCTTTTCAATGATTCCGTCGCCATATCAAAACATTCAGTCTTGTGACAGGCGTGCAGCGTCGTTGTGCATTCAATGCAATTGTACCTGCCAAAACCGTGGCTAGAATATCCACAGGGAAACGCATGGGAGAACTAATAGCATTCCATAAGCCCCGCAGCGGAAAAGGCGGCTTCATGCCTTGTGTCTGGGTAGAGCTGCAACGATTATTGAGTCATCGCCTCATGAGTACAAGCGGATGGAAGGGAATGCTTTTCTGCATTGTGGAGGGGAAGCGAGGGTCCTGTCTGCTTGTTGGGTCTGCTGGACTTCTTTTAGTCCACCCGAGGGGTATCCGGCGTGGTAGACGAGCTTCATTTTATGGACAACAATTGTTGCGTGTGAGTGTGTCATTCGGTTATTATTGCAGGGGGAAATCCAACAACCAATCCAGATAGCACCAGATTCAAGCGATGATGAGGCAAGTCACTACGCTTGTGCCCTGGAGTCCAGTAGCTAACACTGATTTCATCCATCTCATATATAGCATGAAGAAGCCAAGTGCCATTGTGGGAAGGAGTCGCAGCTCTCACGACCAACTACCGATGATGAATGCTAGCTTACTGCAGCAGTGGGTTGTTCTGTGTGAGAAAAGCGTAAGACCGAGGCGGGACCTGCACCTTTACCCCTTAGATATCCTCCTGCTACTCGTCTCTACGTGCTCAGGAGGGCGAAAGCATAGTTCAGGACGCCTTTTCGAGAAGAGGCGCGCTAGGAATGAGCCGCCGTGTCGGACCAAGTGCTGGCAAGGTCAGTCGCTTGGGCCTTGCCGATATGGTCTCATAGCGTACTCCACACACACTGAGTAGCGGTTTGCGCCCACCTAGCCACAGCGTGAATGCTCTTCTCCGCCGTTACGCGATCGACAGGGAGAATGGTACTGGGAACCAGCAGGGAGACGGGCAGGCTGGAGCCAGCAAATTTTCGCTGCTCATGTTGATCAAAGATTCTCATTTAAGTTATAGGACGTTGTCATTGTGATTGCCTTTGCGCATCAGGCACCCGCACACGCAGCAGCTGCTCCACCGCCACAAGATGATTTGGACGATGAGGCAAGCCTCTAGTTTGCTACGCTCCTCCCATTCTGGCACTGTGCCGTTGCCGTCCCTGTCGCCGTCTGAAACTATGAATGTAGATACGCAATTACGTTAGTACATGCCTGCGAAGAGGAACAGATCTGGACATGTAGAGTGAATTTACATCTACATAGGTAGCCATGCCTCCTTGTGTGACGATGATGCATGCCCCCTGAATTTGCTACGGCAATGTGCGTTTTCGAAGGATGAGGGAATTTTCGGAGTGCCGACGACTACGAAGAAAGAAGAGGTGAGCGGACTTCTTGCCGCTTGCACATATGCGTATTTGATTCACTTTTAACAATTCCTGTGGCATGCATACAATTTCTCTCCAGTGGAGAATTAAGACTTCCTCTCGTGTAGGCGTTTGCCTGCGCACTGTAATAGTGATATGTTTATTGTTCCAGCAAGTGGTGAGCTTGTTTTGGGGGGGCTTGTCCCCTTCCAAGTTGTTTGAAGAGGAAGATGGCACGAAGCCATATCAAGCTACGGTGTACGATGTAAGAAAGATCTCCTGGCTCATCCATTCTACAGCAGAGACACTCTGTGAGTCGTTCTTTCCTGACGCAACCGCGCTGTTCACGTTAATCTGGATGTGCTCTCTCGCGACAGTGCTGATTGTTTGAGCACTTGTGTGCCTGCAGAAGATCTGGGACTGGCGTTGGCAGTAGCGATTTCGCTTGATGATCTAGACGATCTTCCGTCTTCCTTCGAGCGGTCCAGACGTCTTGCCAGGTAACACGCTATTTGGCTTAGGATTTCGTGTGTGTGACAAGAAAAAGAACTCACTCATGCGGGTGCCTGTGCTTTAGCCAACACAGCATGATGCCACACTC